GAGTCAAGAGTCAAAATAAAGAAAGCCCTGAAGAGGCTTTCACAGAGGTTCAGATGAAGGATAAAAGCAGAAATGGATGGGTGAGAACTACCCCTAGGCTGGTTGTAAAACCATAGCATGTCCCCAGGTATCAGAAAACTAGAACGACAATGTGTTCTCAAAGTAGACTAAACAATTGCTTCCTTCAGGTCGGGCTATGAGCACGTAAAAATACAAGTTTTCAAAAGATGATAAGTTGAAGAATTAGTCTTATGAGTATTTACATGTTACCAAGGAAAAAGGGATAAACTGATAAAACTGGACAAAATCTATTAACACTAAAAAGTGCACATGTCCTTTGACCTAACAACTTCAATGCTAGGAATTTATCTTTTCTAAACAATCACAAAAGTATGTTAAAATATGCACGGGGATGATCACCAAACTAGAAACAAATATTCATCAACAGGAAACGGTTAAACACAAACATTTATACAGCTATTAAAATGAGGAAAGAGCGTTAAGATATATTGTGTTTGAAAAGATTCTATTTGTGTTAAGATACAATTTTACTTAAGAAAAGTAAAATATTCTCCTTTCATTTTAATTTTAGATTCAGGGGATACATATACAGGTTTGTTACGAGGATATATTGTGTGATGCTGAGGTTTGGGCTTCTATTAATCCTGTCAGCTAGGTACTGAGCATAGCACCTGAAAGGAAGTTTTTCAGCCCTTTCCTCCTTTCCTCTTTCCCTTCCTCCTATTGGAGTCTTTGTGCCCATGTGTACCCACGGTTTCGCTCCCACTTACAAGTGAAAATGCGATATTTGATTTTCTGTTTCTGCACTGATTTTTTTAGGATAGTGGCCTCCAGCTGCATCCATGTTGCTGAAAAGGACATAATTTAGTTCTTTTTTATGGTTGTCTAGTACTCCATTGTGTGTAGTTTTCACGTTTTCCTTATCCAATCTCCTGTTAATGGTAACCTAGGGTGATTCTACGTCTTTGCTATTGAAAACATACATACTCTTCTGATGCTGATATTGGTGAAATTTTTGAAAGAGAAATACTAATCTGAGCAGAAAGTTTTTCTTTTTTAAGGATACATTAATATAAAATCTTAAGCAGTAGCTATACTTTGAAGAGAATGGAGCAGTAAAGGGTAGAGAGATAATTTTACTTTTCTTCATACACCTTTCTAAATTACTTGATTTTTTTGAAATATAAATTATATTTTACTTTTTAAAATAAAAAATGTTTGAGATAACTGACAGAATAAACAAGAATATACTGATATATCATAACTTGCTTTCTGAGTTTATGAACAATAGCTCCAATGAATCATTTATACACACATTATAGATGAACACATGTATACAACATTTATGTATATGGATAAAAATATGTTTGAATACTGTCAAATGCAGTGGAAAAAAAAAATGCCTTTGATTAGAACACAGCAGACAGAGTCCATATTCCTAAGTGACCTTCCATGCCAGAGTTAAGGTTTAACTTGTGATTATAGAATTTGAAAACAGTGCTTGATGGATCCTAGCTGTCACTGCTTCACTGACCATGTTTTGTACTCAAAAAGAGACATGGACTGTTCCACTGCTTCCTAATAAAGCATCTTTTTGGCCTAATTAGCTGTGCTGCCATTTACTGTTAAATGATAAGTTTCATTCAATTCCTAAAGTATAATTTGTCCCCTCCTTAACGCTCTGACAGCTCCTATGGAAAAGGTAATGTTCAAAAGTAGATGGATACAACTTTCTTTTCTATGTCAAGTTTATTTGACTTTTATTTTTATGCTCCAGGGGTTTATGTAATAAAACAGAAGTTATGCAGGGAAAGGGAAATACATCCTCATAATTCTTTTTAAAAAGAAGTAGACATTGCAGATTTGTTTTCTTAGCTACATTACATTCAAATAGCTCTTTCAAAGGCAATTAATTATGCTGCCTTCACTTCAATCACCTACATCCTCTGTGCTATAACTAAATCTCTCTAAATGTTAGCATTTTAGATGGGGGCTTTGTTTACATTGCTTACTATATTTGTGCTAAACTATTTCTTACTTTAGGAATGCAAAATGTTTACTGTTTTCCACTTTTTTTCAGTTGCAAATATATTTCTAAAGCAAGTACTCTAATTGCCACTTACTGGGAAGTCAGAATAGTTTGCTTATTTTGCAAGTCAATACAGGAGAAAAACAGAAAGCTTGATTTTCCAATTTAGGTAAGGTTAAAGCTCAGCAGGCCTAAACACACAGACAGAGCCAACCACTCACCCTTCTTGGGTCTGGCATTGTAATGTTAACAACAGAAACAAAAGAACAGAGGGAAGGAGAAAGATTACCTGTCTCAACTAAATCTAGGACAGTGGTTCTTCTTTTTAAAGACCCACCTGGAGGGGCACATACCAGGTTTAAAAGTACTGTGTGAGGTCACTTCTAGTCATTTGCATTTTTCTAGCTAACCAGGACTAGAAACAGAAAAAAGTGCTATCCTGAAACAAAAACACATTAAACTACAAAGCAATGCTAATGCTGTGATGCTCCCTAGAAAGATGGATCTTAACCTGCTGTGATGTCTGACCATGTAAAGGTGAAGTGGGGTGGGACTGGAGAAGAGGGGTTCACAAGAAACAAAGTCCAAGACAGAATGCTGGGAAAATATAAATGAGGACCAACTAGACTTGTAATACAAGAGCTAATCAGACTGAAAGGAGACCAAACCACAGAGGTCAACATCTGCTGAATGAAATCCAGACTCCCAGGTCTCTGAATATAGCTGATACTGATGACCAACAGGAAGATAGAGATTACTAGGTCATTTTCTTGCAACGAAATCAAGGTTCCAACAGCTCAAAGCATTACTGATTTTCTTGTTAATTACCAGTACACCAAAAACAGCATTTTAGAAGTGAGCACCAAGCCCTGTGGAATGCTTCTGAACTAGATTAAACTACTAGACTAGTAATTAAACTAACTTCACATGGGAGAGTTCTCTTGCTCAAACTTGAGCAATCCTGCACATTTCAGGAAAGCAATTTTAGCACAAATGTGGAAACAAGAAACTTCTAAGCCTCAGTTTCAGCTCAGATACCATGGTTGGCAGCCTCTATTCACCTGAACTACAAAATCAGGATACCAACTACTTCCAAGAAGTGTTAAAGGGGATTAAGATTATTAAATAATGTGAAGATGAAAAGCACTAAGTCCCAGTATTGTATCATTTGTAGTTAGTTTAACAGTCTCTGTTTCTGTATCAGCAAACAAGTTCCTACCATTTTACTCATCTAGACATTTCGATAACAGTCACTGCCATAGTACCTAAGTGCTTTTTACCAGACAACCCATTGAAAGACTCCTGGCATCTTGTCAAAATGACATGCTGCTACATCATATTACAGACTGCAAGAGCCTAAAAATTTAGAAAAGATGATTTTTCTTCAAATTGATCAATGCTATGCCTCATGACAACAGTGTTTATTTTTTACAGATGGGTAACAAATTGGTAAGCAAAATAGTTACAGAACATTGTGTTACATTGTAGCATCCCAGATTGAACATTTTAAGTTCTACTTAAAAAATCAGCAGGTTTATTCCTAAGTACCACATATGCTTAAATATAAGGCAGGATTTTCCCCAGCTAAAATTAATCCCAGAAAAGAGGGCATCACACTATATTCGATCTTCACAAAGTCTCAGATCATGGAGTACTCTTTCCAATCACTTGACCCTGAGAAGCAGAGTACCATTCGGGGAAGGCAGATTCTCCTGAGACAGCCACAATTATTACTAATTCTGGATGTTTACTGAGGTCACTTCAAAACTCAGGTTAAAAAGAAAAGAGTAAAAAAGTATCTCTGGGAGGAGGATCTCACAAATACCGTGTAAAATGTCAAAACAAGTCATTTCAAGTTTACTCTAGCAATATGGTAAGTTGTTACATTATGGGGACCAGTTATATCCATTCAGGATGAACTGGGAATAGGAAAAAATAAATTGACTGTCTTAATATTATGTGTCTATGGGATAAAATTTGCAGGAACAATATCATACATAAAAGTCAAAAATGCTTCAAATTGCAAAGCTTGGGATAAAAATGAAGACAACGTATTCTGCAAAACCATGCTAACAGATGACCTAAAAAGTGGGTTAAGTGGAGATCAAGATGCTGATTCAAAATTCATGAATAATTTGAATATTTCTTGATATGTGTTTATAGAAACAAAGCAATATTAATTTTATATAATGTGACTGTATACATTCTGTGTAAATAAATGAAACTATCTTAAGTAGACATTTGACATTTCTCCCATATCCCTAAAGGTTTACTTAGTCAAGCTAGCGTAATGTTTTTTAAAAAAATTCTTCATTGAAAACTTGTGTTTACTTTATGTTTGATAAAGCCTTATACGTTGGCATATAGGCAGATAGTTATAGTAAATTCCATTATAACTTTTTGGTAGAGTAGTATGAATAACAAATTTCAAGAATCCTCTAGAAGTTTGGTTTTGTAATCATTCTGAAAAAACATTTTCTAAATGAAAAAATGATTAAGATTTATAATAAGACAAGGCATACATATATAGAGAAAACATGGATCAGACCACATATATAGGATCAGAAAATAAATTATGATATAGGTTTCTCCTTGAACTGAACTCAGCATATCAATAACAAATCCAAATAAAGTTCTAGCCAGTGTTGCTGCAAAGAGCTGCACTGAACAACTCTAGAGGGCACAATTTCTATCATAGGTCATCCTGGATTTGCGTACCGGTGAGGATAGTTTTTTGGCAGATGGCAGGAAGGGGCACCTCCTTCTAACTGGCATGAAGATGCCCCTGCAGCTTGGGTAGAACATCTTCTCTAGGTGTAGAAATGCAAACAAACAAACAAACAAACAAAAAACAAAAAATGGATTTCATGTTGAAGAATAGTTTCTACATTAGGAGATGAGAAAGTAATCAAATAAATGACTAAAAAAAAAAAAAAAAAAAAAAAGTTACCTTGTAGATCCCAAAGAACCCCAGGTCCCGCACGACAGACAAGGCACTGACTCTGGGACCAGTAGTGATTTCTCCGGCCACTTGCAAACGAATCTTGACAATTTCTAAAGGATTTGTGAAAATCACCTGGGAGCCTCCAGCCTAAAAATAACAAAAAAGATTTAGGATCAAAGCAAAGAAATAGTGAGATGGGTTAGGAAGAGATGAATGATTATTCTCAAGGATAAGAATATTCTATCCTCAAGAGAATGTAGTTTCAGTCCTTATCCCATCAATCAAAGTGGTTAGGGATTACAAGTATGAATCAAAATACAGTTACTGCCTAGGAAGAAGCCCTACGTCCTTAATGTGGAGGCTGAAGGAGGGCAAAGACCAGAGATTTCTCTTGACCTCCCTGAGTCCTCACACTGAAATTACAAATGCTCCTTGAAGCACAAACAACTGTCACCCCAGGGCTCAAAGCCAAGGGCACAAAGGCAGTAATAAAATGAAAAGCATTCGTATCCAAATGAGGAGACACAGATCTGCCTCTCAGAATAGAAGGGGGACTAGGAGGACAAAGGCTCCTGAATGATGAATTTCATGATTCTGGCAATGATTCAAAAACTGCCAGCGAACACGTAAACTTACATGAAAGCTATCATTTTTTTCTCTTAAAAACATCACATCTCATTTTATGGAGTTGCATATTCTTATAATTTTATTATGTATTACTTGTGTATAGAATTGCTCTTTTCATATGAGATAAGTGGTATGTGAAAGTAGCAAAAATATGCACTAAGTCAATTACTGCCCAAATGTTGAACATCATGTGTTATTTCATTCCAGCAATGGCCAGATGCCTCACCTCCAAGATCATCAGTGAAATCTTTAAAGTACACTATAAGGGTAATTTTAAGCTAGATATTTTGAAGCTAAGCCTATATTTATCACATTTTTCACATATTTATCACATTTATCACATATTTATCACAAGCAATTACATTCTTTCTTACTGTATTTCAACTTGTTCTTTGTCACAGATATATGAAATTTTTATATTATCCAAACTATACTGTACTAATTAGAACTAGCTACAAGGATGTCTTTTGAAGTATTATTTATAATAGCTGGAAAGAAAAATAAGAAACAACATAAATATCTAATGGTAAGGGATGGATTAAATGAATTTGAGTATGTTCATGCATGGAGATACTATGCAGTCAACCGTGAAAAATGTTCAAAATAGACTTTTAAGTAAAAATGCTCATATGTTTAAAATACTGGTACACATTTCCCCCTGCCATCCCCTACCACCATGTAGAAGAAATACACCAAAGTGGTGCTTCTGAAGTGGTGGGATTACAAATATCTTTCTTTTCCTTTTTTTTTTTTTTTTGATGTATTTGAAATTTTTTCTATATAGATCATGTGTTACTTCCACAAAGAAAAATAAACACCTATACACAGTTTACCTAATATGTGTAAGGTTAATGAATCAAAGAAAGATGTTCATTCATTAACTCCCTAAATCAAATTGTTTTTCCATTTTTACCAACTTGATACCTTAATCAAGACACTCTTGTTCTTCCTTAAGTGCAAATGAACTTTTTTGAGGGATGGGGGGACAACACAAAATACAAACCTGGGTTGGATTCACTGAAAGGCCCAAGAAAGGGCCTTACTCTAGGAAGTAGAGTGTGAGATGACACACCCAGAGGCTGGTGCCTTCTGGTCCACACAAAGACATGCTGTTCCCTGCCCTACTGCTCAGAACAGCTCTGTTTTGCTCAGATGCTGCTGCAACCTGCAGGTCCATGGGAAAAACAATACCCTCCCCACCCCCCTACCCCCACCCCCCGCAGTTGTTTACAGCCCTTGAGTGTTTTGTGACTTTGCACCTACATTTCCCATACGATACAGACTGAGCTATTTACAGTTGGCAGAATGATGAGTTGAAACACACCTAGCCCAGTAACCACACGAGAGGCACAGTAAGGATTTTCTCTATTTCTGAACCAGAACTCTTCATATGAAAATCTTACGAATACTTAGAAAAATGAATAGAAATTCAAAATGTAAAGATTGTTTTATGGGGGCAGAATTGCTGAGAAAGATTCACCAGGATGGAATTAGGCTGAAGGCTGATGTTTTTTGAAGCTCAAAGGAGGGTAAGACCATCTCTACCCAGGGTAAAATGCAAAATAATCAGAGAACACCAGTCTTCTTGGAAGAGAGAAGAGGAATACAATGCACATTCATCCAAGCACTGCCAACAGCAGGGAAGGAGGCAGTTGACTGTCCCACATGAAGGCAGAGCTTCAGTCTCCCTATTTGTCAAACCATCTCACTTACTATGAAGATAAAAAGAGGTGGAGAATGTAAGGAGCCAGCACAGTGCTCAAGACAGAGCCATTACTCCAAACATGGAGGTTTCTTTCCCTTTTTCCCCTACATTGATGTTTTCCTCCATAGATGCATGTTACAATCACTTGCAGACCTTTTTAAAATATGGTGACCTCTGAACTTCAGTCCTGACAGTTTAATAAGAACTTTGCATCTGTCCTTGTTAAAATTTTCCTAGGAGATTCTTATGTGCAGTGAGGCTGACAATCCCTGCACTACACCGTCTCTAGAATCTCTGTCAATTTTGAGAACCAGCTTACTTGGCTTCCTGAATGCCACAGTTTCTAATCCCAGTCTTCCATTTCACAAATAACTTTTATTTGTTTTATATCTGATCTCACAACAAACTCTTTCTACATATCCAAGTGGTGCTGTTATGAAAGGGTAGAATTCTTGGGTACAGAATTGTTGTTTTATTATCTCTTACCTTTACTAACACTGGTAAAAGTTGCTAGCATTATATACAATAAAACAAGAACTTACACTCAACTCCCTGACTCCAAGCAAATCGACAGATACCAATTCTTTTAAAACAGCAAAGTGAGTTATCACTAGGGATGATAAGGAGTCAAATCCACTTCAGAGGGCTGCAGGAGGCAGATGCACCAGGAAGAAAGAATGTAGTGATATCAAGAAAACATAATGATGTACCCGTTACCTGTGGTGGCCTCTGAAAGAAAGAACCTACAGACTCAAAGTGGCACATTGTAAAGGTGCTGAAGATTAAACAGGCCCTTTGGAGTCAAACTGGAAGGAAATGAGAGACTCCAAGGCACCAAGAGAAGATGCTTATCATCAGATGCACGGTGTCTGGGTCTCGCCATGACTTGATCACTGAGCAGCACACTGCCTGCTGCTCTTCCAATTCCTGGTCTATTATCCATTCACAGTACCATACCCATGGTTCCTCTTTTGCAGAGATCAAAGATAGCTGAATCGGCAGACAATGGACAGGAACACCTATTGTGCACAATGTCTTTGCGTCCCTCATCACTTGAGAGCTCTGGCTGTGTGAAGATACTGTTTTTTTGTGTGTGTGCAATTTTGTCACAAATCATTTCCCTATGACTTTCTGGAGACTGTGGCAAGTAGGACACAGGAAAATATTTCATACTGAACTGGCTCAGTGTGGCATATTATACTTACAGCGCTAATACTGACTTTTCTACATGTTTCCTAGTATACTCTTTGTTATTGAAATCTTAGTTACCATCTAGTATCTGGATCCATCTAAGAGAGAAAGAGAAATGCATACAACTATTACAGACTCACTTCTGCTACTTGATTTTTCATTCACCAAATATTTACAAGCAATCATGTTCAAAGTTTGTCCTAGGAACTGCAAGGACACAAGATACTTCATTCCCATTCTCAAGGAGCATGAAGTAGCAAGGGTAGAGGTAATGAATATTCATCAAACATCTATTATGGGGTATTAAGGTGTTGCTTTATATAAATATGTTGCATATACTACATATTTTCAGTCCACTCAAGAGGTACTTTTTGCAGAGTTTACATTAAGAGGAAACTGAAGCACAGAATGATTAAAGCAATTGTTTTTATGGGCTGAACTGTGTTCTACCAAAAGTCACAGTTGAAGTCCTAACTCTCAAATACTTCAGAATGTGACTATAGTTGAAAACACGGACTTTACAAGAGAAATTAAGTTAAAAAGAGGTCTTTAGGGTGGGACATAATCCCATCCAACTGGTTTCTCATAAGAAGAGAAAATTGAGACAGACATGTAGGACACAAAGAGAAGACACAGGGAAAAAGCGGCCATCTCCAAGCCAAAGAGAGAGAGACCTCAGAAGAAACCAACCTGGCAACACCTTGATCTTGAAGTTTCAGACTCTAGAAATGTGAGAATATAAATTTCTGCTGTTTAAGCCACCTAGTTTGTGGTATTTTGTTTTGGTAGTGCTAGCAAACTAATATAGCAATGTACCCAGGGCTATATAGCCAGAAAGAAGAGGAAAGGATTTTCAATGGAGTTCGATAACTATATGCCTCATAAATACAGAAAATGGAAAATGAGGATAGATAATTATATGATAAGAGCCAAGGTCCAGACAAGCGGATATGACAGTTCAAAGGAGGGCAAGAGCTCTCCTGGCTGGGAGGTGATTAAGCCAGTGAGAAGGTAACATGTTAGCTGGGGACTGCAGTGTGAATAGGATTTTGGCACTCTAAGCAGAGAAAGGCACAAAGGCACAGTGACAAGGGCATACCACACTTACGTGGGTAATATACCCAGCATTACTTATGTCAAGCGAAATTTTAATGAGGATGATAATTATAATGAGATCAACATCATCATCCTCTGGCATTTATTGAGGCTCCTCTAGCTTACTAAATACCAGGGATTGTGGTAAGAGTTCTCTAAGAATTCTTGGGCCAGGTATGGTGGCTCACGCCTGTAATCCCAGCACTTTGGGAGATCGAGGCTGGTGGATCACCTGAGGTCGGGAGCTCAAGATCAGCCTGGCTAACAAGGTGAAACCCCGCCTCTACTAAATATACAAAATTAGCTGGGCACGGTGGTGCATGCCTGTAATCCCAGCTACTCGGGAGGCTGAGGCAGGAGAATCACTTGAACCCGGGAGGTGGAGATTTCAGTGAGCCAGGATCATGCCACTGCACTCCAGGCTGAGGGACAGAGTGAGACTCTGTCTCAAAAAAACAAAAAAAAAAAATTCTTTTTTGGTCTTCATAGTATTATAAGGTAAGTAATAACATAAATAATAGGCCAGGTG